GGTCTCGTCTGGAATGAGGGCAACCAGACCATATTTTTGCTGGGCCTCAATGATCAGCAGATGACGGCGCACACGCTGGGCAACATAAGCCTCACAGCAACAACAACAACAGCAACACCGCCGCAGCCGCCAGCGCCTGCAACAGGAGCAACAACTGCCACAAAGAAGTTGCTCAATGGACACCAACGCACAAATTCGTTGCCCAGCATTGTGTTTCCCATTGATGCCAAGCCCATTATCACACAACAGCAACTACAGCAGTTGCAACTACAACAACAGCAGCAGCAGCAACATTTTCAGCCTGGCCAACAGCTCATACAACTAGACATAAAGCCCACAACTGCGCCGCCACCCCAGTACGAGGAGGCGACGAAACAGCTGGCGGCCAGCAAAGCAGCCGCTGCCATGGGCAACAGCATGCCGCTAATGAAGATCAAAGAGGAGCCGGCAGCATCACCCGCGCCACCAGCAGCAACAGCAACGGCAACCGGCAATTGCCAGATACAGCGCAAGCCAACGGGCATCAAATCGGAGCAGGTCAGCGATGTGCTGGACATACTAATCAAGCAGGGTGAGCTGCCGGAGAGCGCTGCCCTGGAGCCCATAACGCCACTGACGCCCCTGCCCGAGCTGGCCATGTTCAATGGTGTGACGCCCAGAACAGCAGCTGGCGGTGCCAGCATTGTGCCGCTGGTGCCCAAATTGGAGGCGCCGCCCACACCACAATCGCTGCCCAACCTGGACATGGCCATGGACACCAACGACAGCCACGTCAGCTATGCGTCCAGCAATCCGCAAGCCACAACGCATGGTTATATTGAGAATATTGATATGGCCTCGCCGCTACAGCCAGATGTGTCGGCCATCGATGCGGAGAGCGTTGCCAAAACCTTGGACATATTCCTGGAGCAGCATCATGCCACGCCACCGCCCAGCACGCCGCCCAAATGCAGCAGCAGCGTCAGTGGCAGTGCCAGCGAAAAACCGAACAGTCCGGATGCCAAGCTCAATCATTTCGATGAGTATGAGCTGCTGGAGCTGATGTCGCAGCAGCTGGAAATGGACATTGGCGACGACTCGAACAACTACTGTGCCGGCAAGAACAGCGCAAACAACAACAGCATGCGACGCGATCTCAATCCCAGCCTGCAGCCTAGCATCAACGAGCTGCTCGATGCCAGCAGTCCGGACAGCGTGCTCCTGAATAACAATCACGGCGCCGATGTTGACTTCGATGCGGACAGCTTTGTGGCGCAGCTTAGCCAGCATGTTGCCACCACCCCCAGCAGCAACAACCCCAACAACAATAGCAACAATGCTGCCGCCGCGCAGTGTGGCACGGCAAATGGTCACTACAACAGCACTCCGATGGATGTGTGCGATGACTTCGAAAGCACATTGAACTCCATAATGCAGGCGGTCACCCAACCGCAGCCGGGCGGCCATGTTGACTATGCCACGGCGACAACGGGCATGGCCAACGGCATGGGCAATGCCATGGACGGCAGCGGTGGTGGTGGTGCTGTGGATGCATTCAATGCTAGTGGCGATATATTTGATTTGTTTAACATTGATGACTACAAAATGAGCTGGGCGGCAGGTGATTTTACCGTATAATAAAATGTGGCACACACACTCACACACACACAAATGCACACAAAATGTACATTGAAATGGGCCAATAATTTGGACAAACTTGTTGCTTTGCCCATTTAAACGATCCTTATGCAATACACTATATACCTATTGTGTGGCTCACTATTCTCAAATATTCCTGAAAATTCGTTACGTAAAACACAAAGATGAAAAACACAACTAAAAAGATATCCTATTTATTTTCTAAATGCATTTAAAACATTTGAACGATATAGTTGAAATTTCAAAACTTTACTATTTCCAATTAAAAAAATATATATATAAAACAAAAAACACATACACTAAAGCCAAAATTGCCGGGAGAGTTAGTCCAAAAAACACTCCACAATATTTCAGCACCCTTTTCCTATAAACAGCAGCAACAACAAAAAAAGAGAAAAAAATAACAGCCAAAACGTTTGGAAATGAGTGAAAATACATAATAATAAAAAAACGATATACATATATAGAAAAACATAAGCAAAAATGTTGTAAAGCTCGAGAAAAAAGTACATGTTTCTAATTAAGGTCATTCCAATTTGAAAATATCGCGAGTGAAATCTAAATAAAAGTCTATCAGAGAGAAAGAGAGTACGAAAGAGCGAGCGCAGTGAGTTCGAGAGCATGAATGAGATGATTTAAGGATGATAATTAAAAATTGATGATGATATTCTTAATCAGCAATTTAATTATAATTAAATGAATTAATTTGGTTGAGCCTGTTCGGTTGAGTGAGTGAAAGAACACTAAAAAACATATGTCTTGTCATTACGAAAAAAACAATAAAAACACATTCAAGAATTTTGTTTTAAGTTCTATTTAAAATGAAATTTATTTTAAAGAATAGCAATAACGAGCCTAAAAATCATTAAAAAAAGAGAAAGAAACACTTGCAAACTTTAATTACACATCAAATTAAAATTAATGTAAACAATTTGAGAAGTATTTCCTACAAGGAAAGAAAAAGCCTTTAAAGTAGTCGAAACAAAAATTTAATTTAATTAAATCAATTAAAATAATTCATTTAATGCCTTTTAAGCCAATTATTTAAACGCAAAGGCCACATTTTTGCATTCAATTAACTTTGGGGCAAATAGAAAAAACGCAAATTCCGTTACTTAAAATAATTAAAACATATACTAAAAATTTCTTTAAGGCGGTATGTACTTCACAGCATGTTCTAACTTGTTATATGAAATTTAAAAGGTAAACCTAATGTTTATAAATAAGTAATTTTTGTTTAATACAATTTTCTTAAATGTAAGTGAACATTTAGAGCATGCCTAGCATTCGGACATATTTTTAGTGTTTTACACACTCGCAAATAGAAAAAAAACCAAATTGATAAAATAAAACTGAAACAATATGTAGATTAATCGACACATTTCAAAAATTAGAATGAAAAAAAAACTGAACTAAAAATGAAAAACATAAAATCGTAAAAAAAAAAAATCAACGCATAAATACACCTAAATATATACATATATTTTTATATAAGTAAATTACTTTATTTAATTATAGCTTAAGTCCAGAAGCGTTAAAATGCGCCCAAAAACCTTGACAACAATTAAATTAACACTTGTTTACATTTGCAATAATCTACTTAGATATTCATGAAATTGCAACTGATTTACAGTGCATCGATAATTCAATTGAATGCTTAATATAAATCATATTATCATCAATGCGCTTGAAAAAATGTTTCCATTATTATCAATTCATTAATTAATTTAAACAAAACACCACAACAAAAAATAAAAACGAAAAAAAAGAGTTTGCTAAAAGTTTACTTATTGTTAAGCGCCTGACAGGCGCACAGAATTTAATTACCAATAACTAAATTTATTGTTTTTTTTTTTTAATGCTTAATTCAATTACACAATATATCTTATAAATACATATATTTACATTAATGTTGGCTTAAACATTTTATGTGTTGCGTTTAAAATTTAATTTAAATACAATACAAATACAATCAATAAAATGCAGTGCATCAATTCTATGACTTCATAAAAGTTGTGTATTTTTTGGCAAACAAAAGGAACACACAAGTTTTATAAAATTAATTATAACAAGTGATATACATATACTTATATATCTATATATACTACATATATATATGTATATATATACATATATAAATATAGCTGTGCAAGAAATCATTGCGTAAATAAAACTTTATTCATTTTTCCAAAATGCATTTTGTGAACTCAATGCGATTGTGCACTTTCAGCTACTGTTAAGTAAGTAAAGATAAACACTTAAATAATAACTTTTGTTAGTTCTTTTTGTGGCATTTTAGGGCTTAAAGTTGTGGCCCATTAAAGTCAGCTCATTAAAACCAGAATCAATAGCAAAATAATGTGCTCTCATAATTATTTTATGGCAATCCCAGCCACAAGCAGCAGCATCAACAATAATAATAATGGCTACAAAACAAGGCTTATCATTAGCAAAACCGGCCGTTGCCTGATTGGTGGGCGGCACTGTTTTGGAGGCGGGGCATTTCAACTGGCATTAGCAGTTGTTGTGTTTTGTTTATTTTTAGACCCGAAACGAAATACGCAAACAATATAACGCAAAATTGCAGCAGCACAATTTGCAGATATAACCAGCAGCAGCAACAATGCCGAACAGTTGGACAGCTGCCAAGCAGCACACAGGCTGCTGGGCTCCAACACACACACACACATATATACACAGAAATATATATATTTGAGTGCGGACAGTGCCTGGCACAATATGCTTTCATAATGAAGCTCAGTGCTTAGCAACCCCAGCAGGAGCCGAATCCTTTTAAGCCAACGGCAATCATCGCGTGAACATTTCTGTTGCAATGCTTGTTATTTAACTTAAGCAACTTCTTTCAATAACATTAAAGAATGAATTAGTAAAGTGTTGTCGTAGGAATATTAAAATAAGTATATAAAATATTGGTGCGGACTCGAAACTAGGGCTGTTCCTTCAAAGTATCAATCAACATACCGCCTGCGCGCAAAAGTATGCTTTAGATTTTTTTATTTATATTTAATGCAGAGTATTGTCTAGTCTAGCATATGCTTTTGTTTGTCATTTACCCTATACATTTATAATTACTAACTTTTATTTCCTATACAGCATCACAGTTGGTTTTGCTGCTGGTGATGAAAGCAACAGCAGGCACAATATGTGCCAGCAACAGTTGCCATGGCAATGCGCACACGGCCAGACATCGCCTTCAACTAAACTTATACGGCTGACTGTAATTTGTTTACTACAGCAAAAAGTTGCTCCTTAGACCCTGCCCCGTTCCGTCACAACATTAAATCTTGATTGATCTAACGTTGCATTTCAAGAAAACCCATACTTAATTGTATTACAAATTTATTGGATTTTCAGATTCAAAACGTAAGACACTTATTTTTACATTGCTAGTAGATCTACCAATACATATTCCTAAAAATTCTTGGCTCTTTCCCATTAGCAACACGTTGCCTGAGGCTGAGGCTCGTCCGCGACGACTTTTAACAGTTGTTTGTACAAGAACAACATATATTTATATAGCTGGCTCTTACGACTTGTCGAGCTTCGGATTGCTAGTGATGAACGGATAGACGAGCAGATCCTTCTTAAAAGCAGCTATATCCGTTATGTGGGAGGGATCATTGCTTACGCCAATGAACTCTAGTCTGATGCGATCGCCAATCTGTTCAAACAGCAACTGCTCCTCGGATATGTTGCGCTGCACCTCATCGAGCAGCATGGCCAGCGAACCGGTTCGTCTGCCCAGGCCACTCACAGAGCTTTGCCTGGCGGCAACGGCATCGGAAATAGATTGGGTTGTCGAATGCCTGGTCACGGTAGAAGCGCCAATCACCTGAACAGAGAGTTTACGTAGATGGAACTTGTCGTAGTCTAAAAGAAATGTGACCACATCATCCTTTGTGAGGCTGTTCAGTGTTTGTATTTGCATGTCAGTACGGTTGAAAAAATAGTCCATGCTAACTATTTCGCTCCAGTTGCGCATTACCTCATCGTCCAGGCTGTAATCGGCCAGTTTCTTGCCATTGATGAGCGTTTCCCGCACCTCATCGAACTCCTGATCTGTAAGCTGAGCGACAAGCTCCGGCATGCGGCTGCGAAACGCTTCCAGGCGCGCCTCCACATGCTCGGCGGTGTGCTTGTTCTCTTGAGTGTTTATATTCAGTATATAGGCAAGAATGCCATAGCCAATGCGCTGGTAGACGCCCAGACTGTAGCCGAGCTGTTCCTTCGTGCGCAGCTGATTAAAGAACGGTTCCTCCACAACCAGATCGACCAGATCCATAAGGCATTCCATTTTTAGAGTGCATGGTCCAATTTGATAATAGTTGCTCACAATGGTATTGGGATCATCCTCATTAAGGGTTTTTACGCGCAGAAAATGCTCGCCCAGCGGCAGCTGAACCAATCGATTGTGCTGAGCCACTAAGTTGTCCACTTTTTCGCTTTGGTAGTTGCTGTGCACCTTCTGCATGATGTCGCGCGCCTGTTGCTCTGTGAAGTTGCCTTGGATCAGGCCCTGAACATACATCTTCTTGTAGAAGTTATCCTTGAAGTTCTGTATGTCATCCACGGTGATGGTTTCCAAGGCATGGTACTTTTGCAGCAGGGTGAAGCGCATGTGCTCAAGTACAGTAAGACGCAGATCAAGATTGAGGGATCTGCCAGTAATTAACGCATTGAAAATTTGTCGCTTCTTTAGCTCCTTGAAGGACATCACCTGAGCTGGATCTATTGTTACCGATTGCATCACATTCATAACGATCTCCAGCAGCAATGGTAGCTTCTGATTGTAGCCACTGACGCGCAGCACCAAGCCCTTATCCGCCGTATCCAGGCCATAGGTCAAACCTGCGACCAGCGCCGGATATAATTGTTCGGCGATGCTGAATTCCACCAAATAGGTGTACAGCACCGCCGACATGTAATCGTGTGGACTTCTGCGCATTATAGGCGTTATAAAGTATAGATTTACGAAGCCATCAGGCAGCAGGAAGGTATCATCTGGCCGAAACCAGAGCTCGCATAAATCATTTTTGATAAGAGCCTTGGGGCGACGTGGCACATGCGGCTTGCCCGCCTCTATCCAATGCACGGTGAAATCTGTGGTTATAAACTGATTCTGCTCAGGCATTTTTAACTCCGGATGCGGCTCGGGTTTTGACCACATGGCCTGCCATTTAGCGGGCATATCGATGGTTGTGTAGTGTGTGCCAAACCAAGGTTCGACCTGATCATAAATGAGATGCTCGTATGGTATATGTGAGGATATCATGATATTAAATCGAAACTCGTTTAGGTGCTGCTTGAGCATCGACATCGCCGCGTCATCGTACTCAAAATAGAGCTGTGTGCCGGTGAGCACATCTTTGGGCGGCAGAAATCTCAGTGCCTCTACTATGCTTTGCACATTGTCCATGGAGGGCAGTTCGATCTGAAAGCGGAAATTGGTGGCTGCGATTTGCTGCATTTCCTTGTAGGTGGAATGCAGCGTGTTGCACTCGTTAAGCATGCGTATCCAGGCGAAGGTGGCGGCCATTACCTCATCCAGATGCTCGAAGCCTTCGTCTGTTAAGTAAATGGACATCGTGAAGAGGGAGTAAATTGAATTCGTCTCAAAGCTGCTTCCTCCGACGCCGGCTATGACACTCATACACCACAGCCGGCGGCGCAAGTAGGAGCATAAGCTGCCGACACCTTCGTAACCCAGCAGCTGCGAGAGGAAGGCATCCGGCTTGCATCTGTAGAACTGGCGCATGGCGGGCAGCACCCAGGTGATTTCTACCTTACACACATCCTCTACAGGCTGCACTAGCAGCAGCTGGCGAAAAAACTGCTCTCGAAACGCCTCCCTGTAGTTGAACCTGGAGACATCCAGCGGCGACTGCTCGCTTTTGGGTATGGTCGAACAATGACGCACAAGCAGCTCTTCCAGCTCGTCCAGCGATAGCTGCGCCTGCAGGCAAACCGTCATGCGATTGGCTCCATAATGATTGCGTCGAAAAGCATGCAGAGTTTTATGCAGGTCATCATCATCGACATTCTCTTGCAGGGACTTGAGATTGCCCCAGCTGAAAGTTGCATGTGGATAACCATCGCTCGCCATGCTGGCCAAGATCTGATCTCTTCGCACCTCATCGATCATGTGGGTCTGCTCGAACTCGGACTGCAGTGCGGAGCGTTCGCGTGCCATTGCATCGATGGACATAAGTGGCTCTTTCATCAGATGCATAAACATGTCCAGTGTCTTGTCTAGATGCTGCTCCTCTACTTCAAAATAGAAGCACGTGTCCTCGTTTTCTGTATGCGCATTGCTGAAGCCCCCGCTTTTCGTTACAAATGAATCAAAGGCATTTTCAATTGGATATTTTTCCGAGCCCATAAATATCATGTGCTCCAAAAAATGCGCCAGTCCCTGATACTGAGGTGGTTCGTAGAAGGAGCCTACGCTCATCAAAACCGCACAGGCCGCCAACTTGCCTTGGTAGTGTTCCAGCGAAGAATCGGAGGTACCACTTTTAGACGACGCTGACTTCGCCACTGACGTATGCGAAGATGTATTCGATTCGCCCATGCCGGGGTCCGAAATAAGCATGGCACGCGTGCCATTCGCCAGGCTCAAGGCACGATAGATCTTCCGATCCCCCTCGGACTTGTCGGGTAAGTCCATTTGGGTGACGTTAGTGCTTTTTGAATGCCAAAACCTCACCTTCTGCAATTGTTTTAAGAAGTGGCGTATGTCAATACGTTGCTTAAAAGGCATCCTTAGCAACATAACACTTCTGTTAACAATATGATTTTACCTTTGGCAGTCCACAAAGAAGCTAACTGCCGCATTGCCTAATAAATTATGAGCCACTTGACAGCAATTTCCATGCGCATTATTCCGAATTAATTATGATGTCAAATAAAGCATTAAGAGCCAGTTGACAAACCTCTACACCAACTCTCTGCAGCACCTCACTCAAGTTCAGGACAATAGCTACAGGCAGGGCGGCCGCTTTTTGGCGTGAAAATTCAATTAACTTTGCTGTAAGCCAAAAAAAATATAAAAAAATGTATTTTGCAGCTCTGCATTTGCAGCCCAGCCGCTGCTATGCCCAACTATTTACAGTCAGCAATCAACAAAATTTCGCCAGGCTTGTCGCCAGGCTTAAACGCAGTCTAGCAGCAATGCTTAGGCTAAGGACACACTTGTCCTGCCTTGCAAATTGTACTAATTAAGCTCTGGCAGCCTCGCGGCAGCTAAAAGGCCAAATTAAAATTGTAATGAAGCGCTGTTTCTTTTTGTTTTCTCTATTACAGCTAACACCCAGACAGAGAGTCCAGTGTAGGACAAGGACATGTAGATATTACGCTATTTAGTTAACAAAGCATTTAAGCATATATCTGAGCAGGGCTATCATCGAGAAGGGGTTTAATCAGTGCTTAACTGAATTCGCCATTTGCTAAACTTAATCAAGTTCAAGCAAATTTATTCCGTTTTACTTAAGTATCTCAATTTGAATTTTACCTAATAAACCTTCTGATTTATAATATCTAACAAGACGCCTTAAAACCTGGTTCTGCATTGTATTAAAGCCGTTTAGTACTGCTTCTGTCTCCCTATCATTGCCTTTCATTAGGGAATCTTTCTTTATGGGATTTATGAATTGCAGTTGTTGGTTTGTTGCCATTGAGAGTCTTCAAAGGATTAGACACCTCGCACCGCTTCCCTTGGCTGGGGCTGAACTAATTGAGTGTCATGGCAAATGCAAAATTAGCTTAAGCCTTTAGTCGTACGAACCTCGGGCAAATGGCAGCCGTTTGACCATTTGTGCACTGAACTCGACGACAGTTTCAATTGCATTTGCCATGGCTGACAGCTTAATAGAATTTTAATCCAATTTGATGACAGGCAATTAGCAACCAATACCAGTTGCCAATGCAATCGAAATTCTGATAAATTTTCTGAGAAAAAGTAAATATGGAGAATTGTATTTCTGTGTGTGCGTTGTGGTAGTAGTAGTCGTAGTACTCCTAAGAGAGTAAACATGCCAACTGCTGTTAGTGGTATATAAAAGCAAGAAACTGAAGTATGATTTGCGGGGATGACACACTCACACTTAGTCAGTACGAAGCCGAACAGATATTACCGGTGTCTATTAGAGTTAAACGTCGTTGATTATTGTCCATACAATTTAATTAACTGACAACATATATTTACTTAAATATATATATACTTAAAGTAGAAGTAGACTACACAAATTATAGCTATATAGAGATGGAAAAAAATCCACAGTCCCAGTCTATTTACCAGTCGTCTAAAAGGAATCAAAATGGATGGGACTTCAATCAGAGCTCGACACCGCCAGCGCCCACTGGCACTGATCTCGCCCAGCAGTACTCTCGGCTGCAAGTCGTTGTTTCGTTTCTCCAATGACTTCTCGGAGTGCGAGAAGCTTCATGAAGCACCAACAACAGTGGGATGGAAATTTTAACCTGGAGGCGGCGCCCAGTTCGACGCCCCCCATAACCCAGAGCCAACGTTTCGTTGGTAAAGTCAAGGTTTCACAGTTCGCTGATGCCGCTTTCGAGGATGACTTCTTCAACTTTATATGAAGTACCATCGATTGATTTAAAAGAATGCAAATCTTAATTTTGACCCAAATCGATGAAAAAAGCAAGGAATTAAATTACGTTTTTTCGCAAAATCAGGGTCGGTCCGAAACTCAAAACTTTTTCGATGATTTTTTTTAAATATCTCGGGTAAATATCGTTTGATTGTAATATTTATGTTATACCCTTTTGAATTTGTACGGATTTCTGATTTCAATTTGCATATAAGCAAATTTAAAATTGTTGGGCTAAAAATTGTTGTGGACCCAAAATAATTATGTTTGTGAAGTCAATCTTTTCTGATGATTTTTTGGTATATCTCAGCCAAATAATGTCCGATTTTGTAATTTTATACCATTTTGGACCCGTAGGGATCAGTACTATCGATTGGCATTAAAAGAATGCAAATCTTAATTTTGACCCAAATCGATGAAAAAAGCAAGGGGTTACATCACGTTTTTTCGCAAAATCAGGGTCGGTCCGAAATTCTAAACTTGTTCGATGATTTTTTTTAAATATCTCTGGTAAATATCGTTTGATTGTAATATTTATGTTATACCCTTTTGAATTTGTACGGATTTCTAATTTCAATTTGCATATAAGCAAATTTAAAATTGTTGGGCTAAAAATTGTTGTGGACCCAAAATCGTTACGTTTGTGAAGTCAATCTTTTCTGATGATTTTTTGGTATATCTCAGCCAAGTAATGTCCGATTTTGTAATTTTATACCATTTTGGACCCGTAGGGATCAGTACTATCGATTGGCATTAAAAGAATGCAAATCTTAATTTTGACCCAAATCGATGAAAAAAGCAAGGGGTTACATCACGTTTTTTCGCAAAATCAGGGTCGGTCTGAAATTCTAAACTTTTTCGATGATTTTTTTTAATATCTCGGGTAAATATCGTTTGATTTTAATATGTTATACCTTTTTGAAATTGTACGGATTCCTACTTTCAATTTGCATATAGGCAAATTTAAAATTGTTGGGCTAACAATTGTTGTGGACCCAAAATCGTTACGTTTGTGAAGTCAATCTTTTCTGATGATTTTTTGGTATATCTCAGCCAAATAATGTCCGATTTTGTAATTTTATACCATTTTGGACCCGTAGGGATCAGTACTATCGATTGGCATTAAAAGAATGCAAACCTTAATTTTGACCCAAATCGATGAAAAAAGCAAGGGGTTACATCACGTTTTTTCGCAAAATCAGGGTCGGTCTGAAATTCAAAACTTTTTCGATGATTTTTTTTGAATATCTCGGGTAAATATCGTTTGATTGTAATATCTTATACCTTTTTGAATTTGTACGGATTCCCACTTTCAATTTGCATATAAGCAAATTTAAAATTGTTGGGCTAAAAATTGTTGTGGACCCAAAATCGTTATGTTTGTGAAGTCAATCTTTTCTGATGATTTTTTGGTATATCTCAGCGAAATAATGTCCGATTTTGTAATTTTATACCATTTTGGACCCGTAGGGATCAGTACTATCGATTGGCATTAAAAGAATGCAAATCTTAATTTTGACCCAAATCGATGAAAAAAGCAAGGGGTTACATCACGTTTTTTCGCAAAATCAGGGTCGGTCCGAAATTCTAAACTTGTTCGATGATTTTTTTTAAATATCTCTGGTAAATATCGTTTGATTTTAATATGTTATACCTTTTTGAATTTGTACGGATTCCTACTTTCAATTTGCATATAAGCAAATTTAAAATTGTTGGGCTAAAAATTGTTGTGGACCCAAAATCGTTATGTTTGTGAAGTCAATCTTTTCTGATGATTTTTTGGTATATCTCAGCGAAATAATGTCCGATTTTGTAATTTTATACCATTTTGGACCCGTAGGGATCAGTACTATCGATTGGCATTAAAAGAATGCAAATCTTAATTTTGACCCAAATCGATGAAAAAAGCAAGGGGTTACATCACGTTTTTTCGCAAAATCAGGGTCGGTCCGAAATTCAAAACTTTTTCAATGATTTTTTTTTTAATATCTCGGGTAAATATCGTTTGATTGTAATATCTTATACCTTTTTGAATTTGTACGGATTCCTACTTTCAATTTGCATATAAGCAAATTTAAAATTGTTGGGCTAAAAATTGTTGTGGACCCAAAATCGTTACGTTTGTGAAGTCAATCTTTTCTGATGATTTTTTGGTATATCTCAGCCAAATAATGTCCGATTTTGTAATTTTATACCATTTTGGACCCGTAGGGATCAGTACTATCGATTGGCATTAAAAGAATGCAAATCTTAATTTTGACCCAAATCGATGAAAAAAGCAAGGGGTTACATCACGTTTTTTCGCAAAATCAGGGTCGGTCTGAAATTCAAAACTTTTTCGATGATTTTTTTTGAATATCTCGGGTAAATATCGTTTGATTGTAATATCTTATACCTTTTTGAATTTGTACGGATTCCCACTTTCAATTTGCATATAAGCAAATTTAAAATTGTTGGGCTAAAAATTGTTGTGGACCCAAAATCGTTATGTTTGTGAAGTCAATCTTTTCTGATGATTTTTTGGTATATCTCAGCGAAATAATGTCCGATTTTGTAATTTTATACCATTTTGGACCCGTAGGGATCAGTACTATCGATTGGCATTAAAAGAATGCAAATCTTAATTTTGACCCAAATCGATGAAAAAAGCAAGGGGTTACATCACGTTTTTTCGCAAAATCAGGGTCGGTCCGAAATTCTAAACTTTTTCGATGATTTTTTTTTAATATCTCGGGTAAATATCGTTTGATTTTAATATGTTATACCTTTTTGAAATTGTACGGATTCCTACTTTCAATTTGCATATAGGCAAATTTAAAATTGTTGGGCTAACAATTGTTGTGGACCCAAAATCGTTACGTTTGTGAAGTCAATCTTTTCTGATGATTTTTTGGTATATCTCAGCGAAATAATGTCCGATTTTGTAATTTTATACCATTTTGGACCCGTAGGGATCAGTACTATCGATTGGCATCAAAAGAATCCAAATCTTAATTTTGACCCAAATCGATGAAAAAAGCAAGGGTTACATCACGTTTTTTCGCAAAATCAGGGTCGGTCCGAAATTCAAAACTTTTTCGATGATTTTTTTTGAATATCTCGGGTAAATATCGTTTGATTGTAATATCTTATACCTTTTTGAATTTGTACGGATTCCTACTTTCAATTTGCATATAAGCAAATTTAAAATTGTTGGGCTAAAAATTGTTGTGGACCCAAAATCGTTACGTTTG